TTCTACACACTACACACACACACACACACACACACACACATGCGCGCGCGCGCGCGAATACGTTCCTCGTGTGGAGGGTACCAGCAATATACCGGTCGACCTCCACCAAGCTGTTCCATTTTATTATTAATCCGCTTCGTGTTTATACGCGAATAAACCTTTATCGGCCGGAGAGTCGAAAGAAATCTGCCAGAACGCATGCTGAGATTCGTGCTCGAGACGAAAGAAGAGAAGAAGAAAAGCCAAAGACTGATCGAAAGAAATGCAAGGAAATGTTTACGATGTTTACGTAGTTTCTTTTCTTTTTGTTTCTCTTTCTTTTCTCGCACGATTTGACATCTCGCACGTCGGCAATCGTAAGGCAACGGAGACGACGCCCGCGATGGACGTCCGTCGCAATCAAAGGAAATTGTAGTTCATCTAATTACTGTGTCCTCCTGTCAAGCACGACGAGAAGTCAAAGCGCTGGCTTTCTATTCCTTTCGCCGGTGAAAACCGAAGTTCACGTTTACATGTCGGAGAGATGATCAGTGATTTTCGAATGGCTTGCGAGATATGCCCGAGAGGCTTCCCTTACAAAAACATGAGCTGGAGAAATCATGAAAAATTAATCTACAAATGATCTGACTGATCTCCACTGATGTATATGCGTACTTCATCTCGTTAAGAATAGGCAACGATTTTTTTTTGTTTTGCTATGTTTCGTTTTCTTGACAGTCAAAAATCCTTGACATTCAAAAATTTGAATAAAAAAACATTGAATAATAACCCGATAAAAAATTTTTATGCAAGATATGCCATATGAATATATATAAAAATATATAAATATCTAATTATATAGAAATATATCTATACATGTTCATAGTTTCTTTTTTTAATTAGTTTCTTTTGTAAAATTTTTGTTTGATACAAGAAATATAACAGTAATAATGAGAAGATATAAAAAGTAATTAAAATTATTAATTTTTGCTTTTAATTTGCTTTTAATTGTTTCTTCTACAAAAAATTATGTTTGAAAAAATAAAAATAAAAA